ATAGGAACCAAAAATCTTATGGTAAGTGATACCACAGAGACCAAAGAGACTACTGCATATAATCTTTAGTTTATTTAATTTTGATTATGTAACTTGATTTCCCTAATATTATGATACATATTTTTTCTATAGCATTTGTTATTTGAAAAAATTGAAAAAACCAAGTATTTATATAGGTATTTTGTTTTAAGGGTATATTTGTCCAAAATAAATTTTAGAACTCTAAAAAAAAATGACAGTTAATCATTTTTATAACAACTAATACTTTTAGCTATTTTTTTAAAAAACGTTTTTTATTTTATTTTATTTTGGTCATTCTTGCCGTTGTCCCATGATATTATTACTTTGAACCTAAGCTTACATTACTAGTTGTACCAAAAAACAACCACATATCAAAAGATATGTTATTTTTACTCTTATACTATCAACCCTCTGGTTTCCTAGAACAAAAGGACCACTGAACTTCTTCAAAATAGTTACCCGTCCATCCACTCTTAGTCAATGGTGGATCTAGAATTTAATGTCGGGGCACAAATTCATATGCATAATGAAAAAAAAAATCAAATTTAACCATGTACTTAGCAAAATGTGCATAAATTTTTTTATCATAAACTTTCAATTTCATCAAAGTACATCTTAAACAACTTAGAGTAAGTGTGTTGCAATCTTCACCTTAAACTTTAAAAAGTATCGCAATTTTTAACCTTTGATAGATTATTAGAAAATTTAAAAAAATATATTATCATACGTATCAAATAATTATAAAACATATAGTTGATATGAAATTGATAGAATTTAGACAAAAACAACAATAGAACTATTTTTTGTTGGTTGAATTTTGTAAGTGTTCATATGAGATTTTCGAAGAAATTTGTTTCGTGCAGTTGAACTTTAATTTTGGATGTTTTTGTATAGTAGTGTAAATGCAATATCTAGTCTTTATCTTCTGATTCTTTTTCTCGAACTTGATTTGAATATTAAGTTCTTATTCTTGAACTTTGATCAAAGTCTTCTGTGCTTCAAAAGTCTTCAAATCTTCGAAGTCTTCAAATCTTCCAAGAGAAAATCTTCAATCTTTTGAATTCTCAAATATTTAAACGCTTTGAAACGAGTGTGACTCTTCTATCTATAGAGTTTTGCACAATTAATGGATTTGACTTGGGTGATTTTGGACCCAACCTATAGACTTAGGCTTTATTTGGGTAATGGACCCAATTAGTAGGTAGCTTGGATGATTTTGACCTAATCCCTAAACTCGGGCTTGGGTAATTTTACACTCAACCCAATTAACGTTTCGAGGCTTTCCTAGGAATAGAATCATTTGATGATAACAAAGATGTATTTCCTTATCAGAGAGGAGCCCCAATGGAAGCAGGGATTTTTTCTTTTCTAATCAGTTTGGGGGGAAGGAGGAAAGGCACGGAAACAGGATGTTTAGGGGATCTCCTTAGTCCCAGAGTGAGAGTGTCGATGAACTCCACTTGGGAGTAGTGTCAGTATGTTCAGTCAAAATAAGAGAAGTAAGTCGCGAAAGATAAGTCTTCAATTATGTAAGTCAACTTAGATTTTTTTTTTTTGGAAAAATATGAGAGTCAATTCAATAAAAAGTACGTGAGGAATATACAAAAGGAGGCTATATGAAAGCATTCTGGTACAAATATCGTAATTACAAAAAGAGGAGGACTTGGAGGACCAAGTAGCAAGATGCTGAAACTTTAATGTCCTACAAAGATGAGTGAATGACGAATTACGATCAGAGAATATCCGGTTGTCACGCTCTAGCCAAATATGCCAAGTCTATTATTGATCCGCTAAATTTGTCTTGGATAACTTGGTGAGAAGTCCAAATTATCATCTAATAGATTTTCAGATTGATTTAATTCTGGGTCCAATTTTCACATGATCCAAATTCGATCGATTAAATCTTTTTTAGGATGTACGAAAATTTTTTTTACCCTAAATTTAATAACATATAACTTTGTCATTAATATAAATCCGACTGGAGTTCTTAAGCTTATTGGCCGTTGGGAATTAATATGGAGCCAAAATTAAAAGAAGTAATGAAGGAGCTTAATGGGCATAAGTACAAAAAGCCCAAGTGCCCAACACTTTCCGATTTTTATTAATTTGTGTGCCACCTCTTCACTTTTGCGTGCCTTTCTTTTTTATCGTGAGAGTGAGAATTTTTTTACAGAGAAGGAGGCCGTTTTCGAGGGAGCCATTCTCTGAGCTTTACAGAGAGCTCTATGAGAAAATTTCGTGAGAAATTTTTGTCCAATCAAAGAGTTTTAAAAGCTTGTAAGAGTGATTTGTGAGCATTTTTCTTTGAGAGAAAAGTGAGAGAAATAATTGTGGAGCGTTTGTAAACTCTTGAAAATTCTTCTGGCATTTAGTGGAACCTGCAACGGTAGCAGAGAACTAGATGTAGCCCACATTGGGTGAACCAGTATAATTCCGGTGTCGATTTCTCTTCTCTATATTTTATTGTTCTTGTTGCTTGAGATTTAGGTTGGTTTATCTACTCTTTGAGCATAGTTTCAATTTGATTTATTTCTATTATAATTAGAAGAAGAACCTGATCTGGGATTAGTTAGCATATATTGTATGGAATTGTGATTGAGATAATATTTGTTAGCTTGTTTTATCCCTAACAAGTGGTATTAGAGCGAGGTTGAAGAACAATGGAAGTGGACGACAAATTGGTCACTTTTAATGGGTCAGATTTTTCATTTTGGAAAAATCAGGTATTAGATTATTTGCACTCGAAAGAGTTGGAATTGCCATTAGAAGGAAAGCCGGATGATATGAGAGAAAAAGAATGGAAGAAGTTGGACATGAAAGTGTTGGGTACAACTCGCCTGACATTAACTAAAAATGTTCAGAGCAGCGTGACGAAGGAGACGACCACAATGGGGTTCATAAATGCCCTGGCCAACATGTATGAAAAACCCTAGGTAAATAACAAGGTGTATCTCGCAACTAAATTTTTTAATTTGAAAATGGCTGAAGGTACATCTATTACTGCCCATTTAAATAAGTTTGACGCATTGATTAATAAACTGGTAACTGTTGATTTAGAATTCATTGGTGAAGTTTATGCTATTTTGTTATTAAGATCTTTGCCTGTTAGTTGGGAACCCATGCGAGCTGCTATTTCTAATTCTTGTGGGAAAGAGAAATTGAAATTTGAAGATGTTAGAGATGCAGCTCTTGCAGAAAAAATTCGCAGGAAGGACTCTGGTATTGCTTCTACTTCTGGTTCAGTATTGAATGTGGACAGAAGAAGAAATAATAACAGAGGTTATGGGAATCGAGGCAAGTCGAAAAACAACAGAAGCAGGTCGAGAAACAGCAGGTTTGAGTGTTGGAATTGTGGTAAGATTGGACATTTGAACAGGAATTGCAAGGCCCCGAAGAAAAATGATGGGAACGAAGCCGGTGCTAATGTTGCTGAGCAGATACACGATGCTTTGATTCTTGCAGTTGAGAGCGCTCATGACACATGACTGATGGATTCAGGTGCGTCTTTTCATACTACAGGACAACGTGACATTCTTTTATATTGCAGGAAATCATGGAAAGGTCTATCTTGTCGATGGAGAGCCTTTGGAAATCATTGGTATCGGTGACTTGAATTTAAAAATGGCGAATGGTTCAGTTTGGAAAATTCGCAAGGTATGTCACTTTCAGAATAGGATGAAAAACTTGATTTCTATGGGGCAGTTGGATAATGAAGGATGTGAAATATTCTTTGGTCAAGGAAACTGGAAAGCTATGAAGCACGGACACAGATATGGGACATGGACACAACAGGACACGACGATACGTCAATTCCTAAAAACTTAGGACACGGAAACGTTGGGGATACGTTTATTTTTTTAATATTTTTTAGGATATATGTAAATTTAACACAAAAAATGCTAAATACAATAAATGCATAAATATGAAGTCAATTACATCCAATGTTCAACAAAAGTTACAAAAACAAAGTTCCAAATGACCAATACAGTGACGAAACGAAGTTCCAAAGTTCTAAAGCTATCATTTCAAGTCTCCATATCATCGTTGTCAACGTGACCATCCTCGTCAAGAATTTCAGCCTCCATATCTGGTTCATCCAAAGACAAATTTGCTACTTCAAGCATGCCAACGTCTTCAAGAGAATCAAAACTATCTCCAGCAATATCTCATGACTTAGTCTCTCCTAGGGAATATTCTGGGGTTCTTCTTGATAAGAGACGAAGATTGCTATGAATGAATACCAAATCTTCTGCATGTTTAGGCGTCATTTTGTTCCTCTTGACAGAGTTAACAAAAGAGTATGTGCTCCAATTTCTTTCGCAACATGAGGAGGAAGAAGGTTGTCCAAGTAATTTAAAGGCAATTGCTTGAAGCATGAGTGCATAGACACCATAAGTTACCCACCAACTTCTAGGATCTAATACATATCTATCCGCTATAGAATCATAATCCGCAAAATCTTCAGATTTTGTAGAGAAATTTGCAAATTTTGTAATCACCTTTGTATGATCCACAGGGCTACCAAAATACCTCTTCAACAACTTCATTCTCTCCCTAGTTAATTACACATCTTGACTCGGAGGCAGACGATTAGAGTCTTCTGCAAGCCACTCTTCACTATAATACCTAAATTTAAGTTTTTACAAAAATGTTAAACTCTCATGTTAAATATAAATCATGCTAATCTCAGTAAGAATTAAATGATAGATAGTAATTAAGTAGTAAATACCTTCGATTTAGAGAATGTGCTAAACAATGCAGTGGAGTATTGTTTTTGTTCCAACGATCAAGTAGAATGGTGTGCACCACATCATAAAAAGATGAATTTTCGTTCTACTGCAATCCTTTATGTCTATATATGATTTTCTTCACCTTTTCGATCATCGTATCCCACATATCATATACCAAGTGCAAACAAGGCTTGTCTGTATCACAAGCTCTGATTATGTCAATATAGGTAAAGTGAAGGAAAGAATTCAATTTTGTCCCACCATAAATCATTGAGCAACAACTCCTTTACATGTTGGGCCTTTCCCACATCATCTTCTCTATAATTTGCCCACTTTTCACGGATGACCATTGCTTGTAAGTCACCTTTAATCAATTTAAACCTCTTCAACATAACAATAATCGATGCAAAATGTGTTTCAGCCACAGACAACAATTTAAGAGGTACAAATTCATTAAACATGGACAACTTCATACAATGATTCATGATAAAATTTTTCACAACCATGATATCTCCAGCAACATCAGATATCCAGCTGCATTCTCCATATGCAATTTGATTGTCTTCAACATTCTTAGCAGCACAAATGTTCTTCAGGGCAAGATTCAATGTATGTACTACACATGGTGTCCATACAATCATTGGAAATTGTCCTTCAATGAGTTGTCCTGCACCTTTGCAATTAGGAGCATTATCGGTTATCACTTGCACTACATTGTCAGGACCAACTTCATTGATCACTTCTTTCATCAGATTAGCAATAAAAAACTTGTCTTTTACCTCGCCAGAACAATCTACTGCTTTCAAAAACATCGGTCTACCTTTAGAGATGACCATAAAGTTAATTAAAGGCCTCCTTTGTGAGTCACTCCATCCATCGCTCACAATGCTCACTCCTTTCAAACGTCATTCACCTTTGATTGGTATTAATAACCTCTCAATATTCGCCTTCTCTTGTTGTAAAAGACTCGTCCTCAACGAATTAAATCCCGAAGGTACATATCCGGTCAACATATGGTTCGCCGCATAACTAAAGGCACCTCTAAAGTATGGGTTTCTTGCTAAATGAAATGACAAGCCAGCAGAATAAAACATTCGCGCAATGAGTGCATTCAGTTGATCTCGAGATGCCTTGTTGAATGAATTCTCAATTGCACTTGGAATGCCTTTCCTCTTTTTTGGCTCAATATTACTCGTGCCGGGAAAATTACTCACATTAACATCACCGATTGATATGAATGAATGTGGTAAAGGAATATCTTTAGGGGCTTTTCTCTCCTTTCGATTTTTCGCTTCTTCTTCCAATTTCTCCATATCTGCAATATCTTTAGGAGTAACTTTTAAACATATCCTTATTCCTTGACCATGTATCTTTAACAAGTGAGCTCTAACTCTTGTGTAAGAGCTTTTCATGATGGCTTGACAAAAGTTGCATTGCCATGAAAAATTTCCACCCCCTCACTCAATTTTTGAATTCTAGTTACGTATTCCCAAAGAGGTTTTGAATCATCTTCAATGCTAGAAGATGCTGTTTCTTGGGATGGATTTGAATTTGATGAAGATTCCATCCTAATGTGTAAGCACAATGAAAGAAAATCATTTTACTAAGTGGACAGAAACAAAACGTACAAAAAAAATCATTTTACTCAAATTGGGGTTGTAAAAAAGGAAGAAGGGATGTAAAACATGATTGTTTTTATTCGAGTTTAACTAAGAAAAGAAAAAGAAAAACAGAGGCAGGGGAGTTTACCTAAGAAAAAAAAAAGAAAAACAGAGGCAGGGGCGAATGGTGGCGTTGGCGGCGGCAAGGGCGAGCGGCATCGACGGCAAAGAATGCGTGCAATGGGAAATGGGTGGTGTGTTATCGTGGGTTATTGGGTATTAGGTTTTTTATTTATTTGTTGTTTTTTTTAATTACTAATGGCCATTGGGCCTTTCTATTTGGGCCCAGAAAACCCACCAAGTTGCACAAGCCGTGTCCAGGCCGTGTCTCTGCCGTGTCCAATATTTAAAAAAAAAAAATTCAGACACGCATTTTTGCGTGTCTGACACGTGTCCGACACAAATACTTCGCCCAAAAATAAGTGTCCATGTTTCCTAGTTGGGAAGTTACAAAGGGTGTCATGGTGATTGCTCGAGGAAGCAAGTCAGGAACTTTGTATGTCAACAGCGATGATAAAGACATGGTGGCTGTTGTAGATCATTCGAGCCATACTCAATTATGGCATAGCAGACTGGGATATATGAGTGAAAAAGGTATGAAAATTCTTCACTCTACAGGGAAGTTACAAGGACTTAAGGCAGTTGACCACAAGCAGTGTGAAGGTTGTGTATTTGGGAAGCAGAAGCATGTCAGTTTCTCAAAAACAGGTGCAGCGCCAAAGCCTACGAAATTAGAGCTGGTTGACACTGATGTGTGGTCTTCTAAAGTTTCTTCTCTTGGAGGTTCCAGATACTATGTCACCTTTATAGATGACTCAAGCAAGAAGGTATGGACTTATTTTCTCAAACATAAGTCTGATGTATTTTCTGTTTTCAAAACTTGGAAAGCTATGGTTGAGAATGAGACATGTCTGAAAATTAAAAGCTTGAGGTCAGATAATGGTGGTGAATATGTTGATGAAGAATTTAAAAAGTATTGTGCAGACAGTAGAATTGCGATGGTAAAGACTATTCCAGGGACACCACAGCAGAACGGTGTGGCAGAGAGAATGAACAGGATGCTGAATGAGCGTGCCAGGAGCATGAGATTACATGCAGGATTGTCTAAGATGTTCTGGGCAGAGGCAATCAACACTGCAACCTATCTGATTAATAGGAGCCCGACCACATTACTAGACTTCAAATTGCCTGAAGAAGTCTGGAGCGGTAAACAGGTAAACCTTTCTCATTTAAAGGTTTTTGGCTGTGTATCTTACCTTCACATTGATGCTGCAGACAGGAGTAAACTGGATGCTAAATCCAAGAAGTGTAATTTTCTTGGTTATGGCAGAGCTGAAATGGGTATAGGTTTTGGGACAACCAAAATAGGAAAATTATTAGAAGCAAGAACGTGATCTTCAATGAGGATGTTATGTACAAAGACAGAGCAAATGATGAATCTGGAAAGTCAGAGTCAAATGAAAGCAGAGAAGAGAAGACTAGGTACATCAGTCTTCCCAGAGTTGAGACCAAGACAACAAGAATTGAAGATCATAGTACAACTACTCCTGAGAAGCCGGTTATGGAATCTGAGGAACAGGTTGTTGAACTTGATGGACCAGTTGTTGAAACTGAAGAAGTTCAGAGAACACCACCTACAGCAGTTAGGAGATCTCGCAGGACTATTAGATCACCACAGAGGTATTTCCCTACTTTGAATTATATATTATTGACTAACAGAGGTGAACCTGAATGTTATGAAGAAGCAATTCAGTTGGAAGATTCTGTCAAGTGGGAGTTAGCCATGAAGGTTGAAATGAATTCTCTTATGACAAACCAGACATGACAACTTACTGAGTTACCAAGAGGTAAGAAAACTTTGCAGAACAAATGGGTGTATAGAATCAAACAGGAGCTCGATGACAGCAAAAGATATAAAGCAAGATTTGTAGTCAAAGGCTTTCAACAAAAGAAAGGTATTGACTTTAATGAAATTTTTTCTCCAGTAGTTAAACTAACTACCATTAGAACTGTATTATCGATAGTGGCAGAAGAAGATTTTTTGTTTATGGAACAAATGGATGTAAAAACAATTTTTCTTCACGGTGATTTGGAGGAGGAAATTTACATGAAGCAGCCACAAGGATTTACAGTATAGGGACAGGAGAAAATGGTTTGTAAACTTCAAAGAAGCTTGTATGGTCTCAAACAGGCTCCCAGACAGTGGTATAAGAAGTTTGACAATTTTATGTGCAATAATAGATTTCAGAGGTGTCAGGCAGATCATCGTTGCTACATAAGAACTCAGGGTAACTCTTCTATTATTTTATTTCTATATGTTGATGATGTGTTAATAGCAGGACCAAACAAAGAGGAAATTCTAAAGATAAAGGTTGAATTATCTGGAGAATTTGATATGAAAGATTTGGGAGTTGCCAAACAAATCCTATGGATGAGGATCGAGAGAAAAGATGGTACGTTAACATTGTCACAGGAAGAATATGTAAAAAAGGTGCTAAACAGCTTTTACATGGGAGATGCAAAACTTGTAAGTACTCCTTTAGCTTGTCATTTTATCTAAGCAACACTCACCCACTACTAAGCAAGAAAGAGATTATATGGCTATAATTCCATACACTTCAGCTATAGGTAGCCTAATGTATGTCATGGTTTGCACAAGACCAGATATTATACATGCAGTGGGAGTTGTTAGCAGGTATATGAATAATCCAGGGAAGCAGCATTGGGAAACTGTGAAGTGGATCTTCAGATACTTGAGAGGAATAACTGATTATGCTCTACATTTTAAAAGGTCAGATTTTAAATTGCAAGGCTATGTTGATGCAGATATGACAGGTGATATAGATGGCATAAAAAGTACTACGGGGTATGTATTTACTTCGGGTAATACTGTTATTAGTTGGGTCTCTAGATTGCAAAATATAGTATCACTTTCTACTACAGAAGCTGAGTATGTTGCAGTTACTGAGGCAAGTAAAGAGATGATATGGCTTCAGTTCTTTTTAGAAGAACTTGGCTTGAAATTGGGAAAAGGGACTTTGTATTGTGACATTCAGAGCGTTATTCATTTAGCAAAGAGCTCGCTCCTAATTCGGCTTCAGAGAGTGGGGATTGATTTGACCAGTGGGAGACAGATAATGGTTTGGATTGAGTATAGAGATGCAATGAAAATGATCCGGGTGTGAATCTGTATTTCATTCGAGAACGAAACATATACAGATAAGGTACCATTTTATCATATCAGCTTTGGAAGATGGGGTGCTGGTGCTTGAAAAGATTCCAGGAAGTGAAAATCCAGCTGATATGTTTACTAAGGCCGTCCCTATTGATAAACTGAAGTTGTGCGCAACTTTAGTTGGACTTCTCCATGAGTAGAGAGGAGCCGCTACCATTGCAGAAGAGACGTGATGCTTGTTTTGTCTCCAAGTGGGAGATTGTTGGGAATTAATATGGAGCCAAAATTAAAAGAAGTAATGAAGGAGCTTAATGGGCCTAAGTACAAAAAGCCCAAGTGCCCAACACTTTCCCATTTTTATTAATTTGTGTGCCACCTCTTCACTTTTGCGTGTCTTTCTTTTTTATCGTGAGAGTGAGAATTTTTTTACAGAGAAGGAGGCCATTTTCGAGGGAGCCATTCTCTGAGCTTTACAAAGAGCTTTGTGAGAAAATTTCGTGAGAAATTTTTGTCCAATCACCATTGAAGAGTTTTAGAAGCTTGTAAGAGTGATTCGTGACCATTTTTCTTTGAGAGAAAGGTGAGAGAAATCATTGTGGAGCATTTGTAAACTCTTGAAAATTCTTCTGGTATTTTGTGGAACCTGCAACGGTAGCAAAGAACTGGACGTAGCCCACATTGGGTGAACCAGTATAATTCCGTGTGGATTTCTCTTCCCTATATTTTATTGTTCTTGTTGCTTGAGATTTAGGTTGGTTTATCTACTCTTTGAGCATAGTTCCGATTTGATTTATTTCTGTTATAATTGGAACCAGAACCTAATCTGGGATTAATTAGCATATATTATATGGAATTGTGATTGAGATAATATTTGTTAGCTTGTTTTATCCCTAACAATTGGCTTCCAAAACGCTTCTTTCATCAACTCCAAATTCCTTCGCAATGGACTCAAAACTATTCCCACTCCCATCATCTCTAACAAGTCAATCCTCATGTGAGCATGTAATTGGCTAAATCTGACTGTCGTCCTTGGATATTTGGTGGTCCGACGAGGGGAGTCTGGAAGGCGGTGCCGTAGTTCGGCTGCCGGGATCTGAAGGTGAGAAAGGATTGGCAAGAATTGTAATGGGCCTTACAGACATAACCTCTTGATATGGAAGAAGAATTGGTGGTGGAGCAGTCTTCACCTCCGATGATATGACTGTTGGCGCAGTGAATTTTGATGGAATTAAGAGAGAAAGAGGATTAAAGAGAGAGTGTAATAATGTTAAAGATCCCACCACCTCGATAAAAAAGCTACCTTACAAAAGTTTTATAATAATAATAGGACTACTCTTTTAGTTTTGAGATGTTATGGAATTAGAAAGCTCGTGCCAATAAAAAAAAAATTCGGCCAAGATCGTTTCTCTCATTTTACAATTTTTTTTTTATTAGTTCAACCAGCTCAAAGGTAAGGGTTCGAATTCATGATTGGATACATGTGCGCATTAATCACACTTTAGAGTATGTTTTGGATTAAAAGTGATTTTTTGAGGACTAAAAATATTTTGAAACAGTCAAATTGAATTATTTTGACATTTAAAGTTGTTTTTTTTTTTAATAAATTACTTTAAAGTTGACTATTGAAAAAGTGATTCTAAAGCGATTGGGAGAATAATTTTTTTACAGTTGTAGAATCACTTTTAGATGCCTAAACAAATTTATTATTAATTTTTTTACAGCTGTAGAATCACTTTATAACCGTATTTTAAATAATCAATTTTCAAAGTATTTCTTTTTAAAGTAATTCTTATTTGTTATCAAACTGTCTAAATTTAAAATGAAAAAACACTTTTAGAATTTCAAAACCACACAAAATCATTCGTCGAAACACACTATAGTGTGAAAGGGTGAGTTGATCACTAATGGCAATGTTTAATGGAAATGTCTAAGATGGCGGACTGACCAAATATTGGCTTGTGCATTTTTCCACAACACTTTTTGACAGTTTAAACAAAGGATAAGTCAACAATATTACAATAATGTCTAATCAAATGAAGATACATGAACCCACGGCTTTGATGATTAAAAATGAACTATTGATGGTGTCATTGATGTGAATGATATACGTCAAAAACTCACATCATTTTACTAGTCGAGTAAAGGTTCAAATTCGATGAAGATTTAGTCATACGACTCAAGTATTTTGGATTGGATTTGGACTGATCTAAATTGGATCGAACTTGAATTCATCTTTTAGTTGAAACTTGAACTAATCTATATTATAAATCATTTTTAATTATTATATAAGTTGTTCTGCTGCGGGATATTATCTTAAGTTTTTCTTTTTTTCAATTTTTTTGGAGTAACTAAGTGGAGACTGAGTTCGATGGCATGGTGGAAAATACATATGAACAGTGTTGTTTTTGTTGATGCAAAAATCTGCCCAAGTGTCGTGGAGCAACCTGTTTTGGACCTTAGTGAGCTATTGTGGAGCGAGCTAGGAAAGGTCTATCTAACGAACTGAAGTGTAGTGAGCTCCAGAGGGAAGACCTCTCGACCGAGCTGACACTGAGTGAGCTGGAGAATGGAGACTTGCAAAAACAGGCAGAGCACTCCGACGCTCAAGTAAGTATAAGTTTGAACTAGGATAGATCAGCTTCAGACAGATTTGCATACCTTAGTGGGTGGAGAGTGAAGTTGTATTTATAAGGGTTTGAGGAGTAGTTACTCATCCTATCAACTGTAGAACTGTTTCCCAAGTGGGTGAACTATTGACGGAAGCACGTGACGTCCAAGTTTATCCCTGAGGAGCTCGACGATAGATGATCTTAGGAGCTTGACAGTAGAAGAGCTTAAGAACTCGACCGTGGATGAGCTTAAGAGCTTTGGCTATAATGAGCTTAAGAGCTTTTTCTAAATGAGCTTAAGAGTTCTCCCTATATTCGCTTAAGATATCTTTCGTAGATGAGCTTAGGAGCTTGAACATAGACGAGCATGAACAAAAAAGCCACCCCGCCACAGCAGGGGGGTTGGTTCCTCTGTCGTTGCCGGGGAGCTTTTGGTGACGAGACCTCTTTCTTTCGTGAGTCACCGGGAGGAATTCGATCTAGGGATACCATCTAAATAACAGCGGCCAGATGGTAAATAGGTCGGGAAGAAAGAGTTAGAGGTCGAATCAGATGACAGGGGCAACTTTATCGCTTGTTGCTGTAGAAAGATGGCAGGGGCGCGTTAGCGCTTTACTAGTGGAAAACAGCCATAGGACTGGATTTATCGTCAAATTGAAATTATTTCATTTCCTTCCTTATCAGAGAGGGCCCTCTACTTACTTTAGGGAGTGAAGCTTCTTTATTGAAGTTTTCTTTCTTTCTCCCACTCGATCGCTTCAATATCTCTAATTTGAGAGATAACTGGAAAGTCTTCTCCCGAATGAGAGGATGTGACACAAATGTTCAGTGAGATGACTTTCCTACTGACGGAATCGCTTGAATTAGTTGAAGGAAATTAAAGGAGGTGGCTGGTCTCACTAGAGAGGAGAGTTTTGACAGCGAGGGAGGCAGGGGTGCATCTACTGGTATCATATATAAGAGAAAGGCTGCATTTAGGAGTGATCTTTCCCTCTTCTTCAAGCCAGTGGTGATCTCACTTTCGAAGGAGAGTCTCGACGTGCTTAGCATCACGTAAATAGAACACGTAGCTCCATAGCGGAACTAGTCACTGGCTACAGGTTTTTTTCCTATCGGATCGGAGGCAGCCGAGAATATTATGTCAAAAGGACCAACGACGATGAAGGAGAAGAAAGAAGGAGTATGAGCTAGCCTGCCTTTTTTAGTTGAGTAGGGGCGGAATCGAATGATTACGATCTGAACAATGAGACAAAGCCAGGAGGGGAGAGCCCCACATGAGGTGTGTAATGCATAGCTAAAAAAACACCAGTAACTATCTGAATAACTAAACAAAGACCTGCTAACGGACTGAACCCCCACCAATAACTAAGATTGCTCGGGATTGGATAATCTATCAAATGCTGATTAAGTGTGGAGGATATATGTTGTTTAAAAAGAGATGATCTCGCCACGTGGTACGTCATGTTTTTGACCCAAGAGTCTGCTTTCGCTCCCTCTTCTCATTTTAATAGATATGAAATTGTTTTTTTAGTTGTAATGGAATAAGAGTACCTTTAAGAGTACCTTTTGTCGATAATCATTTGAATAAGATTTATAGTATTATCATTTCAAACGTGTTATGGTACAAATATATAGTAATTGATGTTAATATTCATGAGGTTCCATCTCAAAACGAATCGACAATGAGAGGAGTCTATGTCTATTATAAATATTTGTTAGGTCCCTCGTCTTTTCAATATGAGATCTAACATGCTCCATCGAGATTAAGCTTTTTAGCTCATTGATTTTGACCGAATCCCATTTTTAAATTGGATGTTGGTTTAAGCGATTTGGGCTCTGATACCGAACAATATCCATGGGGTTTCATCTCGAAACTAAAAAGCCCAAAAAAGCTCAAACAAGTATCTGGTAAAAAAAATAGGACATAGCCAAGATCGATTAACCAAAAAAGCCACGATTTTAAGGGAGGATTCCATGCTGAAAATATAAGGAACCTAACAAAGGTTTATAATATAAATAAGCTACTAATCTCATTCCCAATTGGTTTTGAGATGAAATAAATGAATGTTAATATGATATCAGATCCAAAAAGGCTCAAATGAATATACGATCCAAAAATGGGATCCGAATAAGATCGATGAGCTTAAAGAGTCACTTTGTTGACTATAATATATAGTCCAATCAAATGCATGCTTGTTATATCCACAAACTTAGTATTTAGATTTGAAATTTCATGTACAAAATCTCATTGATACACACTTTTTAATAGCAACAAGGATTTAAAAAGTTAGATGAGCTTGGATTTATAACTTTAATGGCCCCTTCAATTGGGCAAGTAGATCCCTCCATTAGTTATTAACATTCCAAGGAGACTTTTATAGTCAACTTTTTAATGCTTTTATTTTTCATTTTTATAATAACCCACAAGACTATGTCAACAAGAAATTTTAATGCTTTCATATGACTCTTTGCCATGTCAGAACAGATTTGTTTTTCCAATGGTGAAAAGAAAATTTGGGTTCTTTGTACACACCTTCGTTATCACAATACGTGTTGAATTATTAATCTCTTGTTGAGTAATAATTCCCGTGGGAGAGATTGGATCTCCTTTGTCATACCTGTAGTTATTCTTTTGGGAAAGTGATCAGAGTAGAGAAATATGGCTGAATTCCTATGGACTTTTGCTGTGCAAGAAGTGTTGAAGAAAGTAGTGAAACTTTCAGCTGAGCAAATTGGATTGGCATGGGGCTTGGAGGAGGAGCTTTGCAAGTTGACCAACTGGTTACTCAAGGCCGAAGCCATTTTATGCGATATTAACAGAAAAAAGTTGCATCATGAATCTGTGAGGCTGTGGGTGGAGGATCTTCAACATGTTGTTCATGAAGCCGACGATTTGTTGGACGAGCTTGTTTATGAAGATCTTCGACGAAAGGTGGAAACGGGAGTAATGAAGAAGGTACGCAATTCTACTTCACCATCGCGCAATCTTATTATCTTTCGTCACAAGATGACTAAGAAAATTAAGGACATTATTGAAACGTTGCGTAAATGTTACTATGAGGCAAGTCCTTTAGGACTCGTGGATGAAGAATCTGTAGGGGGAGAGCATAATGATCTTATCCAGATTCGAGAGACGATCTCGAAGCTTGATGATTTTGAGGTTGTAGGAAGGGAGATTGAAGTTTCAAGCATAGTGAAACAAGTGATCGATGCTAGCGAACAAAGTTTTACATCTATCTTACCAATTGTGGGTATGGGTGGACTTGGGAAATCAACATTGGCAAAGATAGTCTTCAATCACGAGGTGATCAAAGGACACTTTGATGAAACGATATGGGTATGTGTGTCTGAACCATTTTTTATCAACAAAATTTTGGAAGCAATGTTTTAGACGGTAAAGGGTAGTTCTAGTGGGTTAGACAATAAGGAGGCCTTAATTCGAGAACTTCAAAAGGCAATGCAAGGTAAAAAATATTTTCTTGTGTTGGATGATGTTTGGAATGAAAATCCTTCTTTGTGGATTGAGTTGAAAAATTGTTTACTGAGGATCACTGCAAAATCTGGAAATAGTATTATTGTGACTACAAGGAATGTTGAAGTTGGAAAAATCATGGAGACACTTCCTAGCCATCATTTGGTAAAATTATCTGATGAGCAGTGTTGGTATTTGTTCAAACAAAGTGCAAATGTAAATGAATTACCGATGACTCTTGAGTTGAAGGATATTAAAAAAGAGTTGGTGAAAAAGTTTGGTGGTGTACCATTGGTTGCAAGAGTTTTAGGAGGGGCACTAAAATTTGAAGGGTCTATGAGAGATGGCTAAAATCTGTTAAAACAATGATAAGTATTTCATTGCAGGATGGAGATTTAGTTTTATCCATATTAAAATTAAGTGTGGATCGTCTGCCATCCTTTTTGTTAAACCAATGTTTTGCTTATTGTTCAAATTTTTCTAAAGGTTTCAAATTTCAAAAAGAGGAACTAATTCAAATGTGGATGGCACAAGGCTTTATTATTCAACCACAAGATGGAAGAAATTTGGTAATAGAGGATATTGGAGATAAGTACTTCAACATCGTGTTGTCTCGCTCCTTATTTCAAGATGTGGTTAAGGATGAGAGAGGAAGAATTACTCATTGTAAGATGCATGATCTTATATATGAAATTGCGTGTACTATTTCACATTCTAAAAAATTGCATTCTGGCCATGCTAATTTGTTGGAGGAAGGAAGTTGCACTAATTGGAGTAGAAAAAGTGTCGTAAATTTACGTACATTCATTTGCGATGGACAAATGCTTCATGAGATGATTCATGATAGAATTACAAATTGCTTCCGCTTGCGAGTTTTAATATTGAATTCATCGGTTCAAAATTTACCAGATTCAATTGGTAAGATGAAGCACTTGAGATACCTAGACATTTCAGATTCCAAGATAAAAGAGATACGATACTCTTTCTCTTTGCTTTACAATTTGCAAACACTAAAGCTTGGAAGGTCAACAAAAAACTTGCCAAATAATTTGAGCAAGTTGGTCAGTTTAAGACATCTACAATTTCCAATCCTTAACTTTACCGAGAAAACCAAACAAATGCCTCCACACTTGAGCCGATTGACCCAACTTCAAACATTGTCTGGTTTTGTAGTAGGATTTGAGAATGGTTGCAAAATCGAAGAACTTGGACCTCTGAAAAACCTCAAAGGTAGATTGGAACTTTCAAACCTGGAGCACATCAAAAGTAAAGAAGAAGCCATGACCTCAAAATTGGTAGAAAAGAAGAACTTAAATGAACTACTTTTCGAATGGGATTTGCATATTCTAAGAGAAGGTAGCATCAACAACAACAATGACTTAGAAGTGTTGGAAGGGCTTCAACCACACCAAAGTCTACAATTCTTGAGCATCAAAAACTTTGCAGGGCAATTTTTGCCTAGTGGTATTTTTGTTGAAAATTTAGTTGTTATACATCTACGACATTGTGAAAGATGTGAAATTCTTCCAATGCTTGGCCAATTGTCCAACCTAGAGGAACTCAATATTTCTTCATTGAATCGTGTGAGAAGTATAGGGAATGAATTCTATGGAAATGATGCAACCCATTTGGCTTTATTCCCCAAGTTGAAGAAATTTGTGCTCTCTCAAATGTACAGCCTAGAGCAATGGGAAGAATTAGTAGTCGCATCAAATGATGCAATTTTTCCTCGTCTGGAAGACTTGAATATTCGCGGTTGTCCTAAGTTAACAAGTATCCCAAATATTTTTGGATCCTCTTCTCATGCTGGTGTTAGAAACTTTCGAAGTCTACATATTTATGGATGTGAATATTTATGGATGTGAAGAAGTGACGAAATTGCCAAATGAACTTTGCAATTCTCTTGAAGATCTAAAAATAGTTGGGTGCCTTAATTTGATGTTAAATGTGCAAAATATGCACAACTTGTCTCGATTGTACATAAATGGTTTGAGAATGTTGCCTGAGGGGTTGGCCAACCTCACAAACTTGAAGGAACTCATAATTATTGAGTGCACACAAGATTATGAGTTTAGCCCCCTCCTACAACTACCTTCACTTGCAAAGCTTCATTTGGTCATTTTTGGAGCAAGTGCAACTGAACAACTTCCACAACAACTTGAGCATCTCATTGCCTTAAAATGTCTATATATTAATGATTTTCATGGCATTGAAGCTCTACCAGAATGGCTGCAAAACTTTACATCCTTGGAAGTATTGGGTCTTTACAATTGTAGAAATTTGCAACGGTTACCGTCGAGGAGAGCTATGCAACGCCTCATTAGATTAAGTCGTTTGGATGTTTTTGGATGTCCACGACTGCAGAATTGGCAGAACTTTTTCCGTTATGATCAAATGATTTAGATTCGTGTGAGGATGTTGATTGAACCTCCGACCTCTAAAGAAGAAGCAAGATACTTTAATTGTTGAGTTATGTTCATACTGACGATCTAGACCCATGTTACAGTCCATATTTATATTATTTTATAACTTTGATTATTTAGAAAACTCAAGAATTGTATTTTTAATGTCCTAAAAAGCAATTGTGATTATAAGTGAAAAAATTATTCTATCTTTTCTTTAGATGTTCGATTGGAGGAAAAGACCTATGCTGATTTGTCAACACAAATTCATATATGTCATACTTACCGCCCATTAAATTGTTGACAAATGAGAGATAAATGCTGAAATAATAGAAAAATTTTTTATTAAAAAAAAAAACAATGAGGCTGTCAAATTTTTTAGTGATAGTGAGCATAGAATCGGTACTTATATATTGTTCATACCTCTAATATCATTTAGCGTGCACATATTACTTTTATTGGTTGTCATTCAAATACATTTTTCTAGTTAGATAATAATTTTCGTTCTATAGTTCTAGTTGGGTGTTATAAATACTGTTATTATTTAGTAATTAGGAGGACAACTTTTTGTCTTCGAAATTATTAAGCAATAATGTTGTATAAAAAAAAAAGGAAATTAAGCAATAATGGACAAATGAATGGCCGGCAGAATTGTCATTATTTATTTATTCATATTTTTAAATTTGAAAATGCAACTTTTAAATAGAGGTTATTATTATTATTAATTATTTTTTTTTCTAGAAGTTTTAAATAGAGGTTATTAATGTCGTGATCAGACGTAATTTAATGTTATCTAATACATATTACATATATTGTCTAATTTGTCTTCAATGATATAAAAATATTGGTTAGAAACGCTTTTTATCCTTGTGCTTTCATCGATTTAGTCTTTATCCGTTCATACACAAAGGATCATTGCTCTATGGAGTTGCGTTGTATGTGACTTGAATCCAATACTTCAGGATATTCCTTAAGGTTCAAGTCACCCAAGTTATCCATTAGATATCCATTAAAAATTTGCTGATATTGATGTTGAAGTTGGCATGAGAAATTATATACTCCCCGTTTTGTCATTTGAATGTAAATTGGTTGTTTAAAGCGTATCTGGACCACAAAACATAATTTTATATCTATATATATAAAAGAAAAAGTCATCTTCGCAATCAACTAAGAATTATTGAATACCTTCTTTACCTAATCCTTCCCCTCCAATTTGTTTCTATGATATATACGAACATATAACATTAATGTTTGTGACGTTAAATTTATCTCACAACTAACATTGATAATCTACTTATTGTAAAGAGAATTTTTAAGCCCCACAAGCTAGTGAGAATGAACGTTAAACGTATATTGTAAAAGATAAAATATATACTGATTTAACCATGGTTTAAATTTCTAGATCCAACCGTGATGAACCTAACATCTTTCATTAAGTTATTGTTTCTCTAAAAACTATAGGCTCATGTGCTTATCTTAGTGCTTGTACACCTCAAATTATAGATGCGCGCTCTTCTAACAAAGAGAAAAAAAAAGGTGATTATATGACAAATCTTGATTATTCACTCAACACATCTTATATTCATCCGGGCTTCTAGGATTTATTATTTTAATCGTGTATATATATAAACACCCACTCGAATCTAACTCAACTGGTTAAGAAAAAGAAAAAGAAAAAGAAGACAATAACAAAACACCATTAAAAAGTTTCACAAATTTTAGCTCGTTTGCTTGCCAAATCATCACTCATAAACTTACTTTGTAACATTTAAATAATAGCTAATTTGGAACAACTACCATGTACATAATCATCAAGGTTTAAGAAATCATATTTTTGTAACAATATAAAAACACCTGTATATTTAAAAAATACAATGTTAGTTAAATCAATCTGATCCAAAAATATTAAATTAGGGTTATGTCTAGCTAGTCTTGTATTTTAAAAAAACATTCAATTAAATTTTTGAAGTTTCAAAATTATGTTTATTTAAGTCTCTATATCTTAACAATGTTCTAATAAGCTCCTAAAAATTTTGTTTTATGTCTGAATCTATTGCCATTAACTAAGTGGTTTTAATGACCCTAACTTTGAAACAGCTTGAAATCCATCCCTCATGGTGATATGCTATACTATGCTATAATTTAAAAAATTGGAGTTTAGTTCATGTGCTTTCATCTTTCGTTCATTTTTGTCCCTACATTTTAAAAATGTTCGTTTTAGTCTCTATACTTTCAATGTTGTTCATTTTAGTTTCTGTACTTTCAACGTGTTCATTTTGGTCCTTGTATTTTTAAAAAGTGACTATTTTAATTTGGTCCCTTAATTTTATTCTTAATCTCATTTTTTTCTATCACAATTTTAATACGACAATAAAATCAATATATTTCTTGAAATATAAACATTACTTTATACACAGAGTTTTCGTTGTGTAAAATTTGTGTTAAAATTTTGCAAAAACTGACTAAAATGATCCATTTTTAAAAGTACAGAATCTAAAATAATTACTTTTAAAATAATTACTTTTTAAAAGTACAGGATCAAAATGAACATTTTCAAATTAGAGAGATTAAAATGAACCAAAATTTAAAGTACAAACACCAAAATAAACATTTTAATTACATAGATTAAAATAAACCAAGTCTAAAAGTAAATACACTAAAATAGTATTTTAACCTTTGAAATTTTAAACGAATAATGTATTCATCGAAAAATTAAAAGTTTCTAAACCTATTAAAAAATCTAGTACTAATTATCCTAATCCAATCATATATAAAAGAAAAACAAACTTCACTTGAAAATTGTCACTTGTTAATGAAGAAAAAAGCCATGGAAGTGGAGATAATATCCACAGAAACCATCACACCATCTTCTTCCCCACCATCTCTTCATCTAAAATTCTTTAAACTCTCACTTCTTGATCAGCTCTCCCCCTTCACATACACTTCTCTTGTCTTCTTCTACGCCCTCGACGCAACCCACGATGACCTTCTGCTTTCCGATGGCCTCAAAACCTCCCTCTCCAAAGCCCTAACGGAGTTCTACCTTCTCGCCGGAGCAGTCGAAAACAACACCGAAATCCTCGGCAACGGCGTTGGAGCCCTCTTTCAGACTGCAAGAGTTCACGGCGCCATGCTGGAGTTTCTAAAGCAATCCAGCTTTGAATCACTCAGTCGACTCATCCCTTATCAGTCCGTGCCGTCGTTGTCAACGAAGGAAGCAAGTAAGGTTAATAAAGAAAACAAAATCTGTTAAATATCTTCAATTTCAAACTACTGTTTCTTTAATTTATATTTTATGCATATTAGTAATGATGGCGTTATTGAACAGAATAATTTCAAGGCTAATATGTCAAATAGTTCCCAAAATAAATGTGTTAATAAAGACCAACTTATTTGAATATGTGAGCGTAAAAAAAATGCTAACAAAAAGAAGTAAAAAATTATTGTTTTATCAATATATTTAAGCATGTGAACAACATAACACTTAAAAAGGAAAAAAAAGAACTTTTCAAAAGAAGGATCAAATTTTGTTGATATACATGTCCTGTATCAAGTAGCATCTAATATTGACATGATCTTATATTATAAAATAATAAATTAATATAATGTTAAACTCCATACCTTCCGTTTGTTATATATATATATAATTAATGTTAACAATTTAACAATTTTTTAAAAAAGAACCAAGTGAAAATTTTTAATACATTTAACATGGAAATGAGAATTACTTAAAAAATTCGGACAATCCTGTACATGTTTCGCTATTTGGCATAATATATATGACATACGAACATAGTTCATTGAACAAAACTTCTAATATAATAAAAAAAAATGGTTGATAGTTACCTACCCTCAACCTGCCATATTTGAATAAAATATTAAATATTAAATCTTAACTTTTATTAAACGAGATAATATGATAATATCATTGATTATAATAGTCTAGTCGTTAATAATATTTGAATCAAATATTATTATATGTGAATTTCTAATTTCTGAATTTGCTACCGGATCAAAGTACACCCTCAAGTCGCCGTCCAACTGAACACCTTCAGCGGCGGCGGGGTGGCCGTGGGGGCTTGTTTTCTACACAAGATCATTGACGGGACCACGCTGAGCTGCTTTTTGAGGCGGTGGGCCGCAGCCGCCAGAGGGTTCGTGGAGGAGGAGCAGCCGGAGTACGCGGCGGCGCTGTTCCCGCAGAGGGGTCTGTCGGCGGGGAATTCATGGCTTTCGAAAGGATATTCGCCGTTTGTGGGTGGAGGAAGGATTTGTAGAAGAAGATTTGGTTTTGAAGGAGGTGCGATTTTGGAGCTTAAAGAGGAAGCCAAATCGGAGAGCGTCAAGAACCCCACCGGTGTGGAAGTGGTTACTGGATTTATATGGAAGCATGCGATCAGAGCTGCAACACAGAGATCGGGTTCTCAACAACCATCGGTAAGAATCTACTTAGATGCTAACTGGTCAGTTGTATCATGTTTAAAAGTTAAACTTTTAACTAGTAAAAACAAAAGAAAAGTTAAAATACTATTTTTGTCCCTATACTTCAGTTTTGGTTTATTTTAGTTTTGGTACTTTATAAATATTCATTTTGGTCCAAGTAATTTAAATTTTGGTTCATTTTAATTCATATACTTTAAAAATGTTCATTTTGATCCTTGTAATTTTTTTTTTCATCCTGACCTATTTGCAAAATTTTAACATAAATTTTACGTCTAAAGAAACTATTTAGTATAAAATAATATTTACATTTTAAGAAATATATTGATTTTAGTGTTTATGTTGAAATTGTGATAGAAAAATATGAGATTAAAGAATAAAATTAAGGGATCATAATAGTCATTTTTTTAAACATACAAAGATTAAAATAAACATTTACGAGAACTAAAATAAATCAAAATTGAGAGTACAAAGATTAAAACAAACAATTTTGAAAGTATAGAGATTAAAATGAACTACAAATCAAACTAGTATTTTTAACCTTAAAAAGATATATAAATACCTAACCGAAATATATATATATATATATATTTTTTTTGAGAAATAAAAAACTAAAAAATTCTTTGTGGTGGTGTGTGGTGATGTGTAAATGTGCTATCATAATTAAAAATTAAAGGTATTTATCTTTTTTTTTCGGTGGATAGGATCGTGAACTGCATTTGTTAAATGAAAACTATTAATTTTAGAACAATAATTATCTAGGCACCGGTCAAAACTCTTACTCAACCTTCTCAAAGTTTAATTAAAAAATTGCCCAAGAATGAATTATTTTCTTTTTTGGTAGGTATTGACTCATGCAGTCGACCTCCGAAGAAGAATGGCACCACCATTACCACCAACCTCCATGGGAAATCTTTTCTGGAGCGCAGTCGCATATTACGACTCTTCGAACACCGATATCGAACTGAGAGAGCTCGTAAGTCTTCTCCGGCGATCGTTTGTCGATATCGACGACAAGTTCATCGAAAAAATGGCCGGGGAAGACGGGTTTCAGGCCATATCAAACTGGTTCATCAGGATGCAGGAGCTGTTTTCTTCAAAGCCATATGCATACGGATTTACGAGCTGGCGAAATCTGGGGCTAAACGACGTCGATTTCGGGTGGGGCAAGCCTTCGTGGGTGAGCTTTGCAGGACCTGAAAATTCAGTGCTGAGGAACATTGTTGTTTTGAAGGAAGCCATTTTGGGGGATGGGATTGAAGCATGGATCCTTTTGGATGAAGATGAAATGAACATATTGGAAAATGACCAACAATTCCTTGCTTTTGCTTCCCTTAATCCAATTATCCATTTGGCTTAAGTGTTTGAATTATATTTGTTCACAATTTGCTCAAACTTATAGGTTTTTTTTTTTGGACAAAAAATCTTTAATTCGAGACCATATAAATTAGTGATTACTATGCTAAGATATTGTTAAGGATGTTATAAGAGACCTAACAATGGTGGCAATCAATATAAAATGGGGAGGAAAAGATTACGCAGGGGTTCGAACACATGACCTCCTACTCTAGTACCATCTAAAGGATGAACAAACGATCATTCAACGCTGATGGGTTGGATAAATTTAATTTATTTATTGGATATCTAATAGTATGGTATTAGAGCTCAAAAAGCTCAAACGAGCTTCAAGTCCAAAAATAATTCATCTAACTTTAATTGTTTAATATGCATCTTCATTGATGCGAGAGACATTTTGTTTGACACTAAAAGTAAAATTGTGAGGGTTATGCCAAAAACATACATTATCATATATACTTGAGAATATTAGGTACCGTTGTCCTTAACAAAAACATCTATGCTGTCTTTTTTCGATTTGTCAATGAGCTTGTTAGTGCTCTTGGTATTTATTTTTTCAATTTCAGCCTCGTCGTTTCTTTTGTACCTTCAGCTTTGGCTTGTGAGATTCATACTAATTAATTTTTTCTTGCAACATACCTATCCTTTTCCAAAAAAATAAATAAATAAATAAATAATAAATAAATGGCATCAATTGGAGCTATTTGTCTTTGCCTTCATCTTTAAATTAATGCCTTAAATAAATACTTAAAATAACTGATATGATTAAAGATTTTATTATTATTATTATCTATATATATCTTTTTGAGAAAAGAGATGATTAAAGAATGAACAAAAGTAAATGATGTCGTGGACATTCATACAACTTGCACATTATTTTCCATCTTCAAATTTATTATAAGAGCGATTATCATTTTCCCAACAGTAGTGTTTGTTTCCCGAGAAAATAGAGATGGAGGTGAAAATTCTGTCGAGAGAAACTATTAAGCCTTCTTCTCCAACTCCCCCTCACCTTAAAACCTTTCAACTTTCACTTCTCGATCAGCTATCTCCTCTAGTTTATACTCCTCTTTTATTTTTCTACCCCATCAAAGACAAACATGATAATCTTAAAATAGAAATCGCTACACTAAAAAATTCTCTATCAAAAACTCTAACCCATTTCTTCTTGTTGGCAGGAAGAATCACCAACAACAACACATCCGTTTGTTGTAGCGACCAAGGAGCTGTCTTTGTCGAAGCAAACGTTAACTGCAACATGTCCCAAATCCTTAAAGAACCAGACAGTGAAATTTTGACGAAACTCCTTCCATGTTCTGTCCTATGCACTGAGCCAGTCGAGGAATATTCTCAGATTGTTGCACAAGCCAACGTTTTTAACTGTGGTGGAATCGTGATCTCTATTTGTCTGCTTCACAAACTCATGGATGCAACAAGTATGAGCTGTTTTCTTACATTTTGGGCCTCAATCAATAAAGGGTCGTCTTTTGATTCTTCTTTTTGTAATGATATTGTATGTTCCAACTACAAATTAGTGTCTTCTCTTTTCCCACAAACAAATTCTTCCTCTTTTGATCATTCAAGCGTGCAACAAGCCTTCTCAAAATGTGAAAAGAAACGGCATTTCAAAAGGGTTGTGTTCAAATCGAAGGCAATATCAGATCTGAAAGCCAAATCCAAGTCCAAAGATGTCCCAAATCCTACAAGTGTAGAAGTTTTGAGTGGCTTCATTTGGAAATGCATCTGGGAAGCTGCATCAGCGCCATCTATTTTGACACATGCAGTGAACTTACGAAAGAGAATAACAGTGGAGCCATCGCTGCGTGAAGTCTGCGTGGGAAACATTTTTTGGGTCATTGTGGCTCATTATTTAGCAGAGGAAGAAAAGCAAGTGGAGGTTAGTGAATTGGTGAGTTTGTTGAGACATTCATTTGCAGAAATCAATGGTGATTACATACAAGGGAGTGGAGATATTGTTAAGTTGATGAAGGAGAGGAAAAAGTTGCTGTGTGAAGCTCCAAAATTGTGCATATTTACGAGCTGGAGAAATATTGGTTTTAATGAAGTGGACTTTGGGTGGGGAAAGCCCATATGGGTTGCTACTGCAGGAGATTCAAATGTGACAAAAGATAATATTGTTGTTTTGTTGGATGCCATATCAGGTGATGGAGTAGAGGTATGGATTTTGCTTGATGAAGAGGAGATGAAGCTTTTAGAACAAAATCCAGAGTTTCTTGAGTTTGCATTGTTGAATCCAGTTATTCCTCTACCATGAGAAAAGTTGATGAATTTGAATATGAAATTCAATACCTCTTGGTTACTCATGTATGTGCTGTTATGAGCTAGCTCTTCAATCTTACCATTTGTTGATAACAATTAACAAATCTATATTGAGCTGATGATTTTAGTACTTTAAAATGCCCATAGTGGAGAGCTAAAGAAAAGATTCCAACGTTTTTTAATTTTAATTATTTTAGAATTTAATAAATGAAAAGATAAAATATATATAAAATTATATCTATTTTATTATGAAAATGTATTTATTACTAATATAAATAATTAGTTTTAAAAATGTTTACTATTTTATTCATAATTTTTTTAGTAGAACAAATTGGGGGTTTAATCTTCCGACATTAGAAGAAAGGATATATATCAATTAACGTTATTTTGACTAATATTTAATTTATAATTTTGTAAAATAGTTAATTAACTATATATTAATTATTTAAAAAATAGAATTAGGATGTAGTCAGGGTATAGTGGGAAATGTATTCCTTGTTCCTAGAGTGGGGACTTGACCCATGCTATGGATAACAAAATTATAAAAAATGGAGGGAGGAGAGAAGAAAAGAATGTAAAAAAATTTAAAAAAAAAATTAGAAAGTCTCATAATCTAAAAACAAATATAAAATTAATAAAAGTTGACCATTCATTTAAAATTTGTCACCTCATCTTGCCACATCATTCTTCCTTTAATCAACTAACGGTTAAATTAACTTAGAGACCATTTTGAACAATTTTCTAAATTTCAGAGACTAAAAATGTCCCTTTGAAACCTCAGGAACCAAATAGACATCTAGCTCAAATCTCATGACCAAAAATGTATTTTTCCCTATATTATAAATACCTTCTGTACCATTGTGTAAACTTTGTTATGTTGTTTGAAGTATGATTTGCGGGTTTCAGTTTGGTCTGTTTCTATTGTATATATATTCAATTTCTAGTAATGTATACAACACATATGAGATTGCTAAAACGAACATAGCTCAGTGGTAATTGGTATATAACTCCAATCAAGAAGTTGTGAATTCAAATCTCGTCCCCAACATATTGTACTCAAACACAATACTTAATCGTGTCAATCAAAATCATTCACCCACAAATTTATAGAAGGGACAATGAAACAATAGTAGTCAAATAGAATTAAAAAAGGTCTATTACCAGATAAAAAGTAACTTTTGTACGAATTAAAACTCAATTTAAAGTGACTTTATACTTTTCTAAAATAATTTTTTTAATTTTTAAACATATCAATAGAAAAAGAAGTGATTTTGACGATAACAAAAAGTGATTTTGGTACTTTCAAACACATCCTAACACATCCTAGCTAATGATTTTATCAGCTCATCAACTCTCAAAGTGAAAATGGATAGTTGTCAACTTATAAGTCCAAGCTTTCCTTGCTTATGTGATAAAACACACAAAATTTTGCAAATAATTAATGATTAACCATGTATCACAATCATGACAAAATCCATACCCAATCGAATTCAGTCCCACTCCCCAACTGACGTGACTGAAGAAGAAAAAAAAAACAGACCTCTAATCACATTATAAGTATCATATGCTTATCACAGAAATTAAATTAGGAGAGAAACTTGCTAATCGATGCATTGTAAAAATTCCATTAAATTTGGTCTAGAATATTTTAAACAGAACTAATCCACATCAAACCTTTAGTTCAAATCCCTTCTCATAACAGCAGATAATCAAAGCTAGCCAAGCTTCAACAACTCAACTTCTAACCTCTAATCACTTTCCTCGCATCTTTCCTTCATAAACCACTATAGATGGTTATCTGAAAACATCATACTAAGAATAGGAATTTCTCTTCTCTTTTAGATTTTTTATTCAACCTCGGCACAATAAAGGCCTGTTTGATAGCGTTCTTGTTTTCTGTTTCTTGTTTTCCGTTTTTTTATGTTTCTTGTCTATAACTTTTTAAGACTAGAAACAGGAATAAGTTTAGTAACTATTTGTATTTCTTGCTTAAAAAAAGAAAAATAGAAACAAAAATATATTTGATAACTGCTCCTTATTTCTTGTTTTTATTTTTAGTTTTTTGATACAGTAATTTATTTAGGTGAAGATTCGAAGCGAAGCTTAATTCAAATTGACTTATTTTTATTTTCAATTAAAATAAATATAGTAGATATGATATAAAAAAAATATAAAGTATACTTTTAAGAATATAATTCATTAAAGGTAATGTCAATTACCTACAAATATTTTTTACATAAAAGTCTAAATGCACAGCTGGCGATGGAGCTAACGATCCATTTTGCTTCTTTTAACACAAGGTTCATGAAATAGAAACGGGAGAAACTACATCGTGTAGTTCCCAAAATTTAGCTTTTTCTTTTTGGAAACTTTTTTCAAAATTAAAAAATGAGAAAGTTATAAAACATGTTTGTTATTTGTTAAAAAATGAAAAACATGAAAAAAAAAATGAAAATATTTTTCAAAATTTAAAAATGAGAAACAAGATCGGTTATAAAACAGGTTTGTTATTCATTAAAAAATGAAAAACATGAAAAAAAAAAACTAAGAAACATAAACGCTATCAAACGGGTCATAACTAAAGAATTTCAAGGAGAAGAAGACACACGGAGGAAAGCCCGCGTACCAAGTTGCTTGCTGTTAATAAATGCTATGCAGTCATCCATTTTGGAACTCAGCAAACTGAAGCCTCAACCTTGAAGTATGGAGTTATTTCTTTCAGGACTTCATCATTTTTCAACTGTTTCTTGTTTCTATTAAGATACACGAACTAACAAGAGTGCCGGCCATGAAAGGGATAAAAACAAAATATCCCACCTGAGTAATTTGCAACTTCAAGATCGTTATAATAAATGCGATAATTCAGAGTACTCTAAGAATCACCTCCAAAAATCTAGATATTTGCCTTCCAAATTTCGTACTGACTTCGAGATCCATGCCCACGACATGGTATATGGTAGGTGGTCAGTTAGGTCTTGTTTATCAATATTTATGAGTTTCATCTCACCACCTTCTTTGAGATAGGATGCTGGGAAGTATAATTGAAGTAGTGGTCACTGACAATGAGATGATAGCAATCCATAAATTAATTGAGTTAATTCACTTTTAACTGTTTTGAGCTGTCTTGAATATAGCTACTAAACATAAAACCCTTTATTGAAGGTTGATGTAAATTTTAGTTTAAAATAAGAATACAGCGATAGATGGATGAAAACTTGTGAAAGCAGTAAATTCAACATAACTGATACAACAAGATGCAGTAACCAAAAGTAAAGTCCTGAGTCAGTGTCGTAAATGAGCATCACATCGCACGACAATAAATTATGAGTGTCCCTTCAGCTCATGTCTCCAACTCAGCCAAAATAATACAGCTCCTTGAATCTATGAAGACAATTTACTGCTGCTTCAACAAATGGTACTGAATGCCAATCAATCTAAAATATCTCAAATTAAGTTTCCTCAATTGAATCCTCATTTAGAGCCTACTGCTGTATTTCATCATTATTGTTGTACTATTCATTTTTAAGCCCTTAGTATCTGCATCGCATCATATCAATTAGTATCAAAATTGATACTGATCCCCTTTATTTTACCGCTCTTTACAGTAATTTTTCTTGTATAGTTCGGTACCATTTTGACCTTGTATCTCTTCCTTTCTTACTTCATCTCCTTGTGCAGTATTTGTAGTAACATTTTAATATTTATTAAAATGAGCTTCTCTTTTATTTAATTGAACAGTTTAAAGTTTAAGAGGTTTTAACCAAGTGTGAAGAAAACCTATTTGGAATAGAGAGGATAAAAAATCTTATTTATTTTTATATTAAGTTACTAAATCTACATTTCCTATAAATATCTCTCTAAGCTCACTTTCAACGCACAACCAATACAACCTATAATTCATACTCTTTTCTCTACTTTCTCTATTCTCTACTTTTTCTTGTAAGACCAATTGGCAAAAAGAGGGGTGTTATTTGTCGTGGAGCTTTGAGCTCAACCTCTAGTTGCATAGTAGTTTGAGCTATACAACGTTTCGGTTGGATTGTTGTATCCTAGAGGGGACAGACCAGAGAATACTTGCTGCACCGGTGGTTGATAAAAAAATACACACAGGGCTTGAATCTCCTTAGAGAGAGCGAGATACTCACGCCTCGACCTAATTGATTATGTGTTTGTTTCTCAATATTTACTCTATTTACCTATGTTATTTGTAATTCTCCCAACAATATTCGTAAAGAATGACATGATTACTGTGTTAAGGATTACACATGGATAAGATGAGATCTAACAAGTGTTTATAATATAAGTGGGCTATTCATACGGTATCAGAGTCCAAAAGCTCAAACGAGCATCTGGTCCCCACGAGGTCATGATTTCCTATACTTCAAGGGAATGGACAATCAAATTTTTTTTTTTAAATTTTATTTGATGATATTTACCAAATTGTAGACCTATCTCAAACTTGGTAATCTTATTCCCTACAAATAGCAATCACATTCCACATCTACGCTTATTAATGAGATCCATTACTTTTTAATTAATTATTTTATGCTTTTATTATTTATTTTTCATTTATATTACTAATAATTCTTCTTCTAATATTTTATTAGTTGATTTGAATTTAATATAAATATTATAAGTTTATATTTAATTTTTAATTTAGTTTGTTATTATTAGTTAGTATCAATAAAAATTTTAAAATATAATTCATTATTATTAAATATTATAATAATAAAACTTAATAATATTTTATATTAAACGATGGTGGTTCTAATAAAAAATATTTTAATGGATGAAATTTTATTTTCATTAATATTAAATAAATTAAAATTTATTACTATTTTAATTAAAAAAATTTCTTTTTTAAAATTTAATGCGTTTTTACATGTATTAATAAAATTAGGAGTGGTCGACGTCATCCTCTAAAGGTATCTTTCGAGATAAGGATTTGGAGTCACTACAAGAATTTTAAGTTTCAGCGACGAACAAAATCGTCGCCGAAAGCAACATTTTCGTCGCTGAACGCCTTCGGCGACGAAATCCGGTCGTCG